CTGTGGGTCAAGGAAGCATGAGGCCAGGCAGCTCCACAAACTGAGATTTACCTGGCTGTATTTCTCCTTCTGTGATGTCCCCAGTGCCCGGGTGCCTTGGGAACCAGCTGGAAGCCAAACTGGACAAGCCGGATGTAGTGAACTGGATGTGCTACCGCAAAACCGAGGACTATTTCACTATCTGGCTCAACCTCAACACGTTCCTGCCAGTGGGAGTTGACTGTTGGATTGATAACACCAGGTACCGCTCACCCCCATCCCAGGAGCTCCCCGGGTTAATGACCTACCAGGGATCTCCCTCCCCTCTCCTCCCTCTGTGGCCCTGACCCTGCACACAAACCGTCCTTCCTGGAATGTGTTGCGAACACAGCTCTCATCAACACTTTCTGAACACCTTCCCCTTTTCCCTGCCCCGCCATGTGCTCACGACAGCCTGTCCTCAGCACCTCCTGCAGATGCTGCCAGCCTTCCCTGGAGCGGCAGGGTCAGGATGTGACCCCACTGCTGACTTCTGTCCTGTTCCCTCCACAGGGTAGTGTACAACCGAACGGCTCGGAAAATGACCAACGCTCCCGGGGTGCACATTCGTGTGCCTGGCTTTGGCAAAACCTATTCTGTGGAGTACCTGGATCAGAGTAAACTGGCAGGTGAGAGGAGCCAGCTTCGTGGAGAGGCACAGGGTATCCAGGGCTGTCATGTATCACCCAACAGAGAGGAGCCCCTGTATCTGTGCAGTTCATCCCAGCTCAGTCCTGCGGAGCTAATGGAACCCAGGTCACTTGGGTGAAGGATGATGGCCCCAGGACAATTCCTTTCCAGCTCCAAGTGCTGTGTTATGCCTCCAGGATGCATAGAATTGCAATCTCTGACCAGAGCAGTCAAGCTACAGAGCTTAGCAGATGAAATCCCAGCCTGTGATCAGGATAAGAACAGAGAAAGGATAACAGAAGACCAAAGACGTGAATCCCACCTTTTCTCTCTCTGCAGGTTACCTGCACACCCTGGTTCAGAACCTGGTGAACAACGGCTACGTGAGGGACCAGACAGTTCGGGCAGCCCCCTATGACTGGAGGGTTGGTCCCCGTAAGTCTGGGGTTGTGGCCGTATCACACGTGCAGGGAGGGAGGCAGGGTGGTTCTCAGTGAGCAGGCTGAGGAGCAGTGTGGTGGTTCAGCATGGTTCGTCCTTCCTTGGACAGGGATGGCCGTCTGTGGCTGTGAATAGCACTCTCATGGGAATGTATGCGGTGGCACTTCTGGCATCTGTGCCCACACGCCTCTCTGGCTGAGGCTCTTAGTGTCAGCCTGGGGCTATGTGAAGCTGACCAAGAGCTGCTGTCTCTCTTGTCCACAGAGGAGCAGCCTGAATACTTCCAGAACCTGAAGGCACTGATAGAGGAGATGCACGATGAGTACCAGCAGCGCGTCTTCCTCATTGGGCACAGCATGGGCAACCTCAACGTCCTCTACTTCCTGCTCCAGCAGAAGCAAGCCTGGAAAGATCGGTACATCGGGGGCTTCATCTCGCTGGGGGCCCCTTGGGGAGGATCTGTCAAGCCATTGCGTGTCCTTGCATCAGGTGAGTGATTCCTTGTGTGCAGAGGCTTCTTCTTTCTTTCTCTCCTGCAGAAATGGAAGAATGGCAATGAGCAGAGAGCAGACACTGTGGTAGAAGAACTGGGGGCCAGACAGCTGAGGGCTAGGGGTGCTCCTTGAAATCAGAACTGCCCATCCTGGGCAAAAGTAATGTACCAGCCACACGTCATGGGGCTAGGAAAGCAGTCTGGGCCACGCTCACTCTCTTCTCACTGCCTCCCCAGAAACTGGGGAGCTGCACTGCCTCCAACAGTGCAGGGCTGTGGGCTAGATGGACTTCTACTCCAAGCAGTACAGCCCTTATGCAGCTGAGGACATGGAGGCCCCTGAAGGGACACGCACACTGACCTACATCACTTGCTTGCATCTCCCTGTATCTCAGAGCCCATCCTCCATAAGCTTTTCTTTTTTCAGGCTTCTAACTTCCTTCACCTAGTTTCTCTTTAGCCTCTTTTCAGTCCAGAAAGCCACAGTCACTTGCCTAACGCTGACAGCCCAAGTATCCACAAGTCACAACCTGAGCCTCCAAAATGCATGGAATTCATTTAAAAACACATGCTTGCAAATTTTAACATCTGACGCCTCATATCACTCTTAGTCATCACGTTTTTCCCTGTTATCACATGGGCCAGAGACATTTTTTTGAGGTAATTCTATTGTTGCATGGTCTTAAAACTAAAAACACCCAGGCTTGTAGGATGAATGCAGATTGACAACATATCATCAGCCCCGTTGGGCTCATCTCACTCATACGTGGAGTTGTAGAACTTGCAGGACTCAGCTGGTTAGGGACAGTATCCATCCAGCTTTGTCAACACTCGGCCTCTTCTTCCAGCTGGAGGACTGAAGTCAGAGAGGAGGGTCCTGATAGGTGCATGCTGACAGTCAGGAGTGGCCAAGAGGTGTTCGATCTCAGCTGCCCAAGAGTGTGTTTTGGTGCGGTCTGTCTGTCCTGCAGGTGATAATCAGGGCATCCCACTTATGTCCAACATCAAGCTGCGTGAAGAGCAGCGTATGACCACCACCAGCCCCTGGATGTTCCCTACGAGCTTGGCTTGGCCAGAGGACCATGTTTTCATCTCCACACCCTCCTACAATTACACCTACCGGGACTACCAGCGGTTCTTCACCGACGTCAACTTGGAGGATGGTTGGTACATGTGGGAGGACATGAAGGACTTGCTGAAGGGATTACCCCCTCCCGGTGTGGACACATATTGCCTTTATGGCACAGGCTATCCCACAGTGGAGACTTACATATACGATGAGCGTTTTCCTTACGAGGACCCTGTGGACATGATTTATGGTGATGGGGACGACACTGTCAACAAACGCAGTTCAGAGCTGTGCAAGCGATGGCGCAACCAGCAAAAGCAGAAAGTGCACGTCCAGGAGCTGCGAGGCATCGACCACCTCAACATGGTCTTCAGCAACCTGACGCTCACCTCCATCAATGACATACTGCTGGGGAGCACCAAGGTTGGGGCTAGCAACAAGGAGCAGAGAGAGCCGGAGCAGATGGGTGCTCTTAGATCCAGCCCAGAGGTAGGGAGGAGGGGCCACAAAGTCCTTAAGGAGCCCAGAAAGAACTGAAGGAGGTGATGACCAGCTTCTCTCCATGCTTGTATCCACCAGAAGCTGGCATGAAGGGGAGTAAAGGACTCCGAGCTGGGTATCTATGAGAAGGAGCAAGAACAACAGCTCAGGTGGATGGGTTGGCACTCTCTTCCATTCTGAATGTTTGGGCTTTTTTTGTTTTGGGAGCAGTGATTAATTACACTTCAGAGTCTTGTCACTTCCCACTAGTGGATGGATAATTAACCACGCTGCCAGCTCATTAACATCACACTCGTGGATTACGGCGTGTGAGCAAGCCCTCAATGCTAGCAAGCTATCTTTAGACTCTTCAGGCCGTGGTGTCATAGCCTCTTTTTTATACAGGACTCCATATAAGCAAGATAGCACTCATGGTGCCGGGGCAGCCACCAGGGTGGGTAAGGACAGGATAGGCACAGCTTGCAGAAGGGCCCCCGCCAGCCCCCATCACACAGGCAACAAGCTGAGTCCCTGCTGCAAGACTGGCTTAGAAACAGCAGATCTACCTAATAAACATACTTGGCTTCTACACTTCCAGCCTCCTTTGTGCAGCGTCTCCCAGCTCGCCTACACGAGCGTGGCTGGGTGATAACCAATGTGCAATGGAAATCCAAAGGGAGATTTCGTTTAGGGTACCAGGAGAAAACATTCCACTCAGATGGCGGTGAGGTGTTGTCCAGAGCTGTGGGTGCCCATCTCTGGGGGTACCCAAGGCCATGGATGGGCCATGGGCAGCCTGAGCTGGGGGGTCAGCTGGGTTGGAGCTCGATGGGCTTTGAGGTGGCTTCCAATCCAGCCGTTGTGTGAGTGTGTGAGAGCTGTGTGGTGAGCGGTGATGGGAAATGAGGCTCAAGGCTGCAGCAAGTTGGTTGCTGGGGATGCGTTCTTCACCACCAGGCTCCCCAGGGACGCAGCCACAGCCCCAAGCCTGCCAGTGTTGAAGAAGTGTTCGCACGGTGCTCTTCGATGTATGATCTGAGTTTGGGGTGATCCCGCGAGCTCGGGGTTAGTCTCAATGTCCTCCTTAGGAAAGCCCGTGAGATTCTCCTTTCCAGACAGCACCTCACGAGTGGGTGGCACACGCCACCAGGGCCTCATGGCACAACCACAGACGTGCCAAAATCTGGGATACGGGGCTGAGTCCACCGCACACAGCAGCTCAAAACCATCCAGATGCTCAGAGCCGCCATCCGCCATCTTCCCGCCGCCTCGCACGGGTGGGCGGGGCCTGGCAGGGCGGTGGGCGGGGCCTCCAGCCACGCGCTTCTCTCATTGGATGCGAGAAGGCGGCCGCGGCGCGGATTGGCTGCGCGCGTCGGCGTGAGGGGGCGGCGGGGCAGCGGGGCCGCCGTCGCGCTGGAGGCGATGGTGCTGGACCCGGGGGCGGCGGGCGGGCAGGGCCGCGCGGGGCTGGACGCGCTGCCGGACCGCGATGGCTCCCGGCTGTGCTCGTGTCCTTCTCCACCGCCTCGCCCGGCGGCGTCCGGTTCACCCCGTTGCCCGCGGGGGAGCCGGCGTTTGTCGGAAACCGGCGCCGGGATGCGGCGGAGCGGCGGTCGCGGGAGGATGCGGGCCGCCGCGTCGCTGCCTCACATCGCGCGGGCGCGGGGTGAGGAGGGCGGCGGGGCCGGGAGGCGCAGCCCGTGTCTGCTCGTAGCGCTGCGGCCGCGCAACGTGGAGACCGAACGGGAGCGGTTCTTCAGGGAGCGCTTCGCCTACGATCCGCAGTTCGAGTACGCCGAGCCCGTGCCCGAGGCGGTGCTGGAGAAATACCGCGACGCCTCCGATCGCTTCGTGGCGCAGGTGAGGGTGGCCGCAGGAGGACGGCAGGATGCTCGGGGCGCCGAGCGGCTCCGCTGTGCGGTGTCGGCGGCCGGCTGGGCCCGAAGGAATCCCGACTTGTGTCTGCAGCGGTGCAGCCTGCGGGAGCGGAGGGGATCGGCCCTCTGAACGGCACTGACGGGCCCGCATATCAATGAGGGACAGACCAGGAATGGGACAAACTCCGGAGCGTGTCCTGAATAGGGAGCAGAGCTAAAGGGAGTTAAAGTGCGAGGGGTCTGAGCGCAGTCCTATGGGAGCGGCTGAGGGAATGGGGTGGGTCAGTGTGGAGCTGCAGCCCTGACAGGACGGTGTGGGGAGGGGTTCAGCCTCTGCTCCTGGGTGACAGCGATAGTGAGAGTGATGGCATCACTCTGCACCAGGGGAGGTTCAGGTCAGGTGCTGGGGAAACCTTTTTCTCCCAGCAGGCAGTGAGGCTTTGGAACAGGCTGCCCAGGGAGAGGTTCAGGAAGCATGTTAATGTGGCAGTGAGGGACATGGCTGGATTGGGTCATCTTAGAGGTCTTTGCCAACCTAAAGGGGCCTACAGGAAGGCGGGGGAAGGGCTCATTGTTATGGAGTGTAGTGATATTACAAGGGGTTACAGCTGTGAATTAAAAGAGGAGAGATTTAGATTAGATGTTAGGAAGAACTTCTTGGGCCTCTGCACAGGCTGCCTATAGAGGCTGTGGATGCCCTGTCCATGAAGGTATTAGGGCCAGGCTGGATGGGGCCCTAGGAAGCCTGATGTGTGGCAGTTGTCACCCCTGTGGTAGGAGTTGGGACTGAGTGGGCTTTAATGTCTCTTCTCATCCAACTGGTCCATGATAAAGTTTGATCCATGATTCATTATCTTGGCTCTGAGATCAGCAGCCACCACTAAGGCCAGCCAGGCTGAAGCTGCAGCACGTGCCATGCAGAGAGGCACTCCTCTGGCCTGCTCCTCATCCTGACTGCTGCTGTGTGACCTTGCTTATCATCTTCTGGGTTGTTTGTTGCTTTGTTCTGTTTTGCTTGTCTAAGCTGTCCTTTGATTACATGTTCAACATACACCTTCTGTAGCTGATAAGAGAGTGACTCCTGGGGCTGGATTGTACTCTGTGCCTCAAACTGCCTACAGACCTGCAGCCGTGGTTGGGAGCTGGCAGGAACCTTTGCACTGTTGCTTTAGAACTGACAGACCAAGAACTGAAACATCTGGCTGGCTTCATGCAAAGCAGTCCTCAGCCTGCACCCTGTTGGCTGAGCCTGGTTTGTTTTCTGGAAGGTGTAAAGGTTGTCCTGCGTGGCAGCACCCTTAACCCGTAACTATCAGCAAGCACGGTGGATGGCAGCTAGGTTGTAGGCTCTTCTTAGAGCAGTCTGTGTCTTTTTCATCATCACTTCAGTTGCTTTATAGGCTACCGAAATATTCCTGGCTGTTCTCTGCCACAGGTAGTAATCACGAACGAATGGCAGCAAACGGAGAGCGCTGGGCCATCAGTGCAGGAGGCAAAAAGAGTGGGCTCCTCGATGCTCTGCCTGCACACAAGAGCCACGTCACCTCTTGCTTCCTACTTCTCTAGAGGACTACAATGTGTTACCCACATTGTTTGGTCTCTGTAAACAACTTTCCAAGCATCTGGGCATTTCCAGCGCTGTTCCTGCTACACCTCTGCTCCAGTTAAACTGGTGCCAGCAATGCTGTTTCAGGGGAGATGCTTGGATTCCTGTAACGACCTCGGTGTGGCTTTTCTTTCACTCCTTCCTGTGTTTTAGCGTGCTTGGGTCTCTGACTAATGCAGTAAATTGAATTGCCCAGAGCTACTTCTCCACTTCTCTTCTGGTACAGCTGGCTTACAGTGTTCTCAAATGGGAATAATTGAAATTGTCTCTGTGCATTTCTTGGAATGAAATTAACTGTTCATAAACAATGTGAGTGTTCTCATTTTGTTCTTACACCCACTGCAGGAGATATTTGTGTTAAATAATTCTACCTATCTTTACAAGTTCTCTGTCTCTGTAATGTATCTTGGGAGAACAGAGGTTCTTCTGCCTTCTCAGTGAAGCACAGCATGTAGCAGTCAGGAGTGAGAGCTGTGGACAGGTATTGCATCTGGAGGTGAGTGCTCAGGTGAAGGGGAGATGGGCAGGAACCCGGCAGCAGTGGTGGCAGTGGTCCTCTGCTGGCACCCTGCTCTCAGCACCTTGTACTGATTTAACATCTTGGTGCAAGAGCAGACCAACCAGTTCCTTATTTTTTGTGTTTTGAGATTGATGCCCCCTTCAGTTCTGCTGAATCAGCTGTTCTGTGTTGTGGAGTATTTGGGGGTTTGTTTTCTGGCGGTTTGTTGTTGTTTTCTTCTTGTTGTTGTGGGTTATCTTGGTTTGGCTTTGGATTCTTGGTTTGTTATTTTAATTGGGAGCTGTTTTTATTTGTTGTTTGGGGGATTTTGATGTTTTTTGGAGGGCTCTTTGTTTTTCTTTGCTTTTGGTTTTGTTTTTAGAGGTGTTTGGAGTTTGTTGGTTTGTTTCGTTTCCTTTTCCTATAGAAACAGAAAAAATCAGAAGGCTCCTTCCAGCCCCTCTATGGCTTATGCTATTAGAGATGAAGAAGACTGTTGGCAGCCCAGTTCCTCGGAGGCATAAGAACAGCATCAACACAGGGCTTGGAGCACAGCTCGAGTGTTTGTTGTCCCTTGACACGTGGCCTGTGGGGCTGAGCTGGTGACAGGCTCCTGCTCCCAGCCAGGCCACTGACCGGGCAGGAAGGGCTGATGTGAGCTCAGCAGCTTCTCATAGAGCAAATGGGCTATCTTAGGAATGTTGCTGTCTGTGACTTGTCTGAAAGTTGCTGTAGTACATGCCCCTTCTGTCAGCTCTGTGCACCATCTGCACTCAGTTCCTCTTTGCCTGCTGCTTGCCGTCTTAGGGAATGGGGGACAAAGTTTCACAGTGGGTAAACAAAGGTGATCCTTTTCTTCTGCAAGCCAGCAGGAGGGGCCTTGGTGGCTCTCCCACGTTCAGTTCAGTGCCTGTCTGGTTGCTGCTGCTGGACTGAGCTGCTGCAAGGGCACGTGCTAAGGTGATCCTGGTCATTAGGAGGCAAAAGGAGAGCAAACCTCCCCAAGGGGAGAGCCGGTGTCAGATGTTAGAAGCAAGTAAGCTTCAGTAGGGAGGAAGAAGGAATGTAACTTCTGCAGGACTCCAGCTGGTAGCTTCAGCAGATAGCAAGGTTTTACTGTGGTAGGAGAAAGGGCAATCTGCTCCTGGGCTCAGAGGGCTTCTTTGCAGCTTCCACTGCTCCCTGACAGGTGTGCGTGTGGAGGGGGCCTCAGATAACACAGACCTGAGGTCTGATCCACAAAATCAGCTCCCACACTCAGTGTGAACTTGGCCTCTTGTTTGTGCGTGGCGTGAGGTTCAGTGCAAGTTGGTGGTGTGGAACTAACGCAGTAAAGAGGCGAGTTCTGACACTTGGAGTAAGAGTTTTAGCAAGTATGCTGCCAAAGAGCATGAGTGCCAGCCAGTCTGTTGTTACTGTGTAACTATGTGCTTTTAGTTCCCTGCTGAAGCCATGTATTGTGGCGCATAGCCTGCCTTGTTTGTGCAGTCAGCCCAGGTGCGCTGAACTCTGGCACCACAATCTTTTCCAGGCTGTGAAATACCTGTGTTCAGCATATGTCATCCCTCTTGCAGTAGGCAGGGGTCCCCTCAGGGACTGAACTTGCTGAAACAACATCAGGTGGATGACAAAGAGGACGACAGAGCTCAGGAGGAACGGTAAATGCACACAGCTCGGCAGTGGCATTTTGTCCTGCAGCAGCAGGTGAGTAGGCATCTTGCAGGCAGGTTTACAGATGCAGTAAAGCTGCTGAAAGACTCCAAAACAACTGCAGAGGAGGGGTTGTAGTCATCCAATTCGGAATATGTATTAATAAACAGACTAGAGAGGGTCATTGCTAGCAAATGACTTCGGTGCATTCTCACTTTAGGGAAAGAAAATGCTAATAAGTGCTCGTATAGAGGGTAACGTTAATAAAGCAGCACGTGCTGCTGTTATTCACGTGCTGTTATTGCAGCACCATGGTTGTGCTGAGAGCCTGGAAGAAGCAGCAGAAGCAGCAGTGCTGCCCGAGGAAATACTCTCAGTGGGAGCTTTACTGCAGGGCATGCCCGTGTGCTGAGAGGGAGCACATTTGCACTCCTGACTTTTTCATGTCCTGACTGCTGTGTTGAAATCATTGTTTCTACAGAGATTCTCCAAAGCAGATGTGGTGGCCAGTGAAGAACAAACATTTTGAGCCGCACGGAGGTTTTAACAACTTCCTCACCTCTTTTTAACATTCTCTGCAGCTGATTCATACTAACTCTGTTGTCCTGAGCTATCAGAGCACAACAAAGATCTCTTCTGTAGCTCCAGAATGACCAGTCGTGAACCCGTTCTGTTTCCATACTTGCTACTTTCGTGCCAGGCCAGAAGATGTCCTGTGCCAGGAGCTGTGCTGTACCAACTGCCTTCTGGGCTGTGAGTTCCTGAAACCAATCCAGTGTTGCAATAAGAAAACTAATAAGCAAGTTGATAAGATTTGCAAACACTTGAGTTTGAAAGAAGAAGTGAAAGCAGAAAAGATGAAAACAATCACGGCTTTAGCATCTAGAGGGAGCGTGCTACGTACAGTGAGGCTGTTTCACTTCTGGTTTGCCCAGTTCTGCTAATGAACACTCGTGAGCATTAGTGGGACAATAGAATGAAGACAGTGTGTGCCATGCTGACTGTGTTACGTACTGATCTATCTGGTACTCAGCTGTCAACAAGACATTCCATTTCTCTCCCACAGAAACGTCTCACCTCCCAGGCACTTGACACTAAGTAGTTTTTTGAACCCTTTCTCAGGGATTTCCTCAGCTGGGCTCTGTTACACCTGGGGGTTTTGGTTCTGTAGAAGATGGCACTTGAGAGTGGAGAAGGTATTCTGACTGACACTTCATTTCTATGTGTGTGACAGGCCATTAGGATCATTCATGCTGTCCTGGAGAAGTATGGGACCTATGAGAGCTTCGAAGTTGCCACTGGTGGGAGACTGCTGAGCAAGTGCCAGATCTGGTCTGTTATCCGAAAGTACATGCAGAAGGAAGGCTGCGCAGGGGAGGTAATCATTGTCCTTGGTTGTTTCTTTTTTAATCGTTCATGAAATAAACGTGCAAAATGTTTTTCTGCTTTGCTCTTGTTCAGTGAAGCATCAGTTCTGATAATGGAGTTGAATTAAGAAGTGTTTCGGACACAAAGAAGAAACATACTTGCTGGGGGAAAGAAGCTTGAGAGATTCACATCTCAGGGCAGGAGTTAAAGCAGTAGCTGAGACCTGAGTTTGTAGTTGAGGATTCTGTAAACAAACTTGGTGGCAGTTTTGTTTGCAGAAGTATTTCACAAAGGAATTCAGCAATCCTCTGCATTGCTGTGTTGCTTTTACAGACACTGAGCTCGTTCTGAGCAGCTTCTTCAGGCCATTTGTGGCTCCCAGAAGAGGAGCCACAGGCCATATCCTGCCTGGATATGGTTTGGGCAAACGTGGTACAGCTATAGGATTTCTTTCTGACCTGACCATTGCCTGATGCACTCTCAAGGCCAGTGTGTTTTGTGCAGCTTTTGGAAAGCTGAGAGCAGGAGCAGCACCTCTTTGCACAGAGCCACATGCAAAGAGTGGAGCCCAGAGAGGGCTGCACCAGCAGCTGCCCTGCGTGTTCCTGAAGCTGGCTTGTACAGAACAGCAGGGCTTGGAGCAGAAAAGGACGAAGGGAAGAAGGTCTGCCTTTCTCTGTAGCCTGCAGTAAATTACTCTGCTTTTCTCCTCTGAACTGTGGCTTCCTTCCATCTCTGCCACGGCTCCTGGCTTGCAGTCCTGAAGTTAGGAGGCTGGTGCCCCACTGATTTGCCTGCATTTCTCATTCCAGAAATATCTCCCTTCTAAGCTAAGGGAGCTGAGCTTAAGGAGAAGAGCTACCGCTTGTCTACGTAGACAGGCACGCGGGGCTGAGGCTATTTTGCTGTGTCCATGAGGTATCAATTACCATTGGGATGGATGACCTATTTCTGCTAGCAGTGGTATGGCAGAAATCTGTGGCAGCTGGGTTCATTCGTGTGTTCAGAGGCAGAGTTGGGGGAGAGATTTCCGGCTTTCCTTTGGCGCGTGCTGGGTTATGGTGCTTTCAAACTCTACTCCGAGGTTTTAAGACTAAAAAATACCTTGTTAAGATGTTACTAGTGGTAAATCAGCTGTGTGGGATGGAGGGTGGAAAGCTTGTAGCATCTCTTACCACTTGTTGCTGCATGTCCTGAGCTGCTTTCTGGAGGTGCCCCTTGAGTGCAAGCCTGGGTCTGGTGAAACAGGAGGGATTTTCAGCTGGCTTCCTGAATTTAGCCAAATAACCCTCTTTTCCAAACAGCTCAGAACTCCTGCTGCTCTGTAACAGAGGAATTGCAAGGAACTGAGCCAAAAATCTGGAAGATTTAAACAAGCAGTATAAATGCATTCCTTCCTTTCTTGTTGTTTACCTCTGGGTTCCTGCCTGTCAGGAGCACTGTGCCTTTCTCTCTCATCTCAAAGTCACGGTGAAAAAGTGGAAACAAAACATATCTGTGGTCTCTGCCTGCTGCATTGTACTGCTGATGCCACTGTCACAGCTGCTTGGTTGGAAAGCTGCTCTCCTGCTGCACAACAGAGCTCACTGGTATTATAAAGCAGGGTGAGGAGTCTGAGGATTTATCTATGTTACAAGAGTGATTCCTGGCAGCTGGATGTTCACAGGGAAGAGGGATGCCCCGTGGCCTTGTATAAGGAGCTTTCTCCTATTCCTGCCTACAGTGTATCTGCCAAACACTTCCACGGCCCCAGATCCAAGTGGTGAGAAGTATTTCTGGACCAATTGTGTTTTATCTCTTAATTTGATTAATTGATTGAATTCAGCTGTTGAATACTCCTTTGTTAATCTCAAACATATTGAGCTCTACCTGAGCAGAAAGATTTATTTTCTTAGCTGTTAGTCCAGCCCTGTATAATTTTTCCTTTGTTCAGGGGCTCTAAGGGTTCAATTATTATGTTTGCACATTGGAATGCAAGGTACGTGGCTTGTGTTTTTTCTGAAGCTTTTGATAAGTGCTTTTAAAACCATTCAAGCATCAGTTTATGAATAACCAGCCACTACAGGCTGTATTGAGTTTCTCTGGGGAAGGAAAAAGGGAAATGTTTCACCTGTGCTTTGTATAGCAAACGCTGTCAAACTTTGCTTCTGGTACTGGACAAAAACTTGCTGCCATTTCTGCGCCCTGATGAGGAACAGAGCAGCTTCACAGAGCCACCTCCCCTCCTCCCCTCCCCGCTGCCTGTGTATCTGTTTGCTGTCTTCTCTCTGCTGTACCCTGTCTGTCCTTCACTGCTGTTTGCTTTTCTGTTGCTGCTTTTGTGTTGCTCACTAATTATGATGGGTTTCTTACAAAAAGAAACTCCATCTCATGGGGCCCCACAGGTTTCCGAGCTGCCAGGCACCCTCTGGTTCTCCCATCACCTTTGCTGCAGTGTTGCTTTGACAGAGTGCAGGAGGCACCGTGATCCAGAGGGGTCAGCGTGGATCTTCCTGACACAGTTCTCAGCCCTGCAGTAGTTTCTCCATCAGACCTGGAAGAGCACACTGCCACCACACTGCTGCAACTCCAGACAGCTCCCACGCCTCTTTGACCTATGATACAGACTTCTAGGCACTGGGAGCAGCCCAGAAACCTCATGGCGTTGCTTATTTGTGGGCTGGGGTTGCAGTGTGGGCTGTTGGTCTGCAGCTGAGGAAAACGTAGTCAAAAGCTTGTCCCTGATGTGGTCAAAATGTTTGCAAGGGGCTGCAGGTGTACGAGCATGGCTGCTGCTTTCCCTGCCTGGCTGGGCTGCGAGGTGACTGCAGACCTTCAGCTACAACCCCTGCAGCAACCAGAAACACAAAACAGAACTCGTGCTGCTTCTTTCCAGCTAATCAGCAAGTAAACAGCACCTTAGGGAATACAAAAACCAGAGTTGCCTGGCCCAAGTGAAGTCCCAGGACAAATACTTGTGCAGCATCTAGATGAGTCTTTCCAAAACTCGCCAAGAAGATGGTTATTTGGGAACATGGTAGGAAAGGAAAGTCACTTCAGTGCATCAGCGATCTGAACTGCCTGCAAATGGGCAGGGCTGGTGGCACTGGCTGCCAAGGAGATGTCAGTGCAGAGTGCTCCTTTTGTGCCCCCATCCCTGGCACTTGTGGTGCGGAGGGATGGTCTGAGCTGTGATGAAGGCAGGATGCCAGTTTCCAGCACCCCAGGGAGCGTGTTTATGGGTAAGTATTTGCACTGCAGTGAACTTTGCATATTCAAGAGTTTCTTTGTTGTAGTCCAAGCTGCAGGTTCTGAGGCTTTTCTGGTTCTGTTCTGGCTCAGGGCTGAGGTGATGCTGCTGGAGCTCAGATGCCTGCTTTCCATTATTCATGGATTTCCCAGCTGCTCAGTTTGCACTAAAGAAACCTCTGACCGTTGGTAAGTACTGTGTAGTAATCCAGGCATTGTGAAATGTTCTTAAATAATGCTGGCTAGTGTGTCCTCAGGTTCTGGCAGTGGTGCTGGCCCAGCCCATCCCACCACACCCTGCCAGTACAGAGCATATGCACACACTGCTGTCAGAGCTGCTGGGAGGCTTTGGCCCCATCAGCATGCTCTGCTTCTTCCTGCAGTTCTTAGGGAGCTCTTTCCTCTGTCATTGCACCCACAAACTGGACAGACTGCTTAATGGAACACAAGGATGTGCTGGAGTTTGTGCTTAAAATGTGGGCACTCTGTGAAACAATGGTGATGGGAATTGCACTGACCTTGCAAGGATCTGTGCTTTCCAGTGGAAGCATCAGGTTTCAGTGCCAGCTGCTGAATCCAGAAACGTGCTGTGGGCAGTGCAACATGAGCAGTCAAGCTGCAGTCTTCCCTGGAGGTATGCAGAATTGCACCCAGAGGGTTGGCTTTGCATGGAGCAGTTCTTGGAGCTTCTGTCTGATGAGACAAAACAGCATCATCACTGAACTGTCAAACAAACACATTTCCTGCCCAACCTGCTCAGAAGACCTTCACCCTTTTCCCCTCAATGTCACACGGCCTTCTGCCTCTGCAGTGTCTTCTATTCAAGAGAAGGTGTTCAAGAGAATCCATTCATATGGATAACAGATTTGAGCCATTGTAAACCTCCCACAACAGGTTGCACAGTTCACTGATGCTTCTTTGTCCTGAATCTGCTTCCTAATCACTTCACTTGATGTCATCTAGCTCTTGTATAGAAACAGAAATAGATTCCATTTCATGTAGTTGGGTTCAGCGTTGTCTTTACCTTTTCTTTACCACAAGAGAGGAAAAAAAAAAGTACCTTCTGTGCCTGATGGTTACTTTGTGCCTACACATGAAGGATTGCCCCAAGAGCCCTTGTACAGTGATCTGATAGGGTTGCCAAGCCCAGTGATGGTTGACTTGTGCTACAGTCTAAATCCAGAGAAAGTGATTCAGCTCTCAACATTTAAACACAGAGTGCTCTGTCACAGGTGTTTACAGTTTATTAAAGCTAAGGCATCTCTCTCTGTGGGTCTCTTGATGAGGAGCTTTGTGCAAAAAGGGACCTCCCTGACCAAGATGGACCCTGGCAGCACACCCAGATGGCAGCAGGGGTAAGGCCTTGTTAGGCATCCCTGGGGCTGCCACCCCCATCCAGCAAAATCCTGCTTGAGCAGGGTGTACAGAGATGTAAAAATCAATTGGCTTACAGAGTTTTAGGCTAAGTAAGATTGTCACAACAGAAAGGTAATAAGTGGAAAAGGCTTACCAATGCTGTAGGCTCACAATATTCTCCACAAGGAGTAACCTCTAGGGAAGGATCCTTCCTCAGTGGCAGTCAGCATTTAAATGGCATCTAGGAGAGGTGCAGCCAGGCTCCATCCCTTCCTGCAGCACAGGTGAATTGCCTTCAGCTGTGTTCCCATGGCTGACCCATTGTTTGCCTCAGGTGGTCAATCAGAGGTTCAGGCCATGATTTAGCAGCTCCTATACAGCAAGGAATATTCACTTCCTTCACCCCTGAGCAGAACCCTGCTGTTTGGAATGCCTTCTTCCCACTGTTAGAGTGCATCAGAATGAATGTAGGTTTAGAAACCAGGGCTGTATGAAGAAGCAATTTAATCTGCAGCTGGTCTGAGGGATGCTTTTTGCCTTTGGGTGAAATACAAGAGGAGAAAATCCATAGGCCCTGTGTCACTCCTGTGGTCAGCAGTGGGAGAAAAATATCTGAACTTCCAGCAAATCCATCCCTATCAAATAAGGAGCAACCTGTGCTGCAGATGAAAGAGTTGCTTTCTTCAGCAATGCATTCCCCTTACAGCAGAGGAAGAAGCCACGGGCAGATCAGGCTATCGTGAGGCTGGCTAGTTTTCTTTGGTGGTGGGGATGAAGGTACAGACAGGAGGGGAGAGTTGGATGTCATGAGAACAGCAGAGCTGGTCTGCATGGAGCACTGACCTCAGGGATTCGATTCTTGCAGTTAAACTCTTGGGTTTATGCAATCTCTCTCTCACTTGTGTGGGTGCTCTTACAGTGTTGTTTTCACAGTCAGCTTTTCAAATACTGAAACCTGAGCTGTTCAGGGGATGCCAAGTGAGCAACACCCTCCCAAAAGCTGCCAGCTGGGATAACCCCAAAGAAGCAGTTCCCAGTGGAACAGACATTAGAGGGGACATAGAAAACCACTGAATACAAGTCATCGTCCTTGAGGAGTTTGCCACAGCATGGATAATTGGGCAGTGTATTTTTCTGATTATTTACTTTTAAAACAGGCTGATGGAAAGCAGGTATAAGTGGGAACATTTATGCTAGGGAAGAGGTTATCTTTTCTGCAGCTACCCAGTATCTCATATCCTAAATCCCAACCTCCTCGTGGTTTGTTTTTCTTTTTTCCTGTAGGGACAACTAAGAGTGACAAGGCAGCAAGATGTCCCAGCCAGCCAAGCACTGTGTGTTGGATGTGTCCTTGAAGTTGAGCCCCACAAGCTGACACAGCACATCAAGTCCTGTGTTCCCTGGAACAGCTGTAGGTCAGACAGCAAAGGACTGTCACAGGAGTTCAGGCGCTAGTTCTGTGCTGAAGAACACAGCAGTGGCTTTGGAGGAGCAGGAGGAGTACTGTGACAATGAAATGCATTTTTGTCTTTAAGTTCTCTCTTCCCTTCCCCTCTCAGCTTCCAGGATTTCAGCCTCAGCTGTTTTCATTTGGGATTGCAATGCTTGTTGTTGTGTTCGTGTCACACCGAGTTGATACAATGGATAGGAATTAGTTAAAATAATACCAGAGTTTGGCTCCTATGTGCCTCCTCCTTTCTGCTTATGTGAAACTGTCTCCAGTTTTCAGCCACCTCTCCGGGACTCAGCTCACTGGGGTCCCGGGTTTGGACTTGTGCCTTAGGCTGAGGTTGGAGCAGTGACCTCTGAGTGCTGGCTGGATGTGGGGAGGGGCAGTGGGAGGACAAGTTTTAGTTATTTTGAATTGCTTTCTGGAACAGAAGTAAAGTTGAAGGGATGTGCACATTAAAAGTACAGCGGCAAGTCTTTCCTCTGTGTCTTTCATCTATGTGATCCCGTTAAACCATTGCCATGTAAGTCTTTTTATGCTGTTAATTTGCCCAGTACTCGGTGTTGCTCTGTTACGTTGCACTCCTGGCTTTAATGAACAGCATTGTACAATAATAAATCTGGGTTTAAAACAAGCTGATTTAGTCTCCTCTCTTTTTTAAAAAGAAAAAGAGACGAAAGCTTTAATGTAGCAGTAAATCAGTGCTTCGGTTTGGGCTGTGCTACCAATTTTGCAGTGAAACCTGAGAAGCTTGAAGGCGATGCTCAGGATTACAATGTTGACAGGTTTCTGCTTTTCAACCTGGACAGTTTCAGCTCTGAAACAGGTGGTTTTTAGAGTTCACACATACGTGGCAGAGGGATTTTTGAGGTGTGTGCCAATGCAAACACCTCCTGTGACCTTGGCTGTATGGAGTTTGGTTCTTCATATCACAGGAGAGGCACAAGATCCACCTCCAGGGTGGGTCAGAGGGCAATCATGCTGATGTGAGCTATTTCTTTCTGTGTAAAGGTGTTCACCAGTTGTGCTGTTAATCACAGCTGACAAATGTCCAGGTGGGAAGCGTGGCTGTATGTGTGTGGCTGGCAGCTCTTGGCTGGATCTGTTCTTGTTGTGCTTTTCTTGAAGCGCTAAAAGCAATAATAAAAAGGAGATGAAGATGTGAGAATGGAGCCAGGTTCCCTTGTGAGAGATTTTTGGCAGGTGCTCTGTAAGTAGGACATACTACAAAGCAGATAAAGCCTATGAGAAACATTCCCACTGCGGTGCTCAAGGGATGGATGAGAAGGCTCTGCTGGAGCAAAGTGATTGTTGCTCTTTGTGCTTCATTTCCTAGAGTGTTGCTCTGGAAGACTTGAGCTACGGAAGTAGGAACATGTGGTGGCACACTGATGCTGCTTGTGCAAATCTGCTGTGCTCTGCCCTCAGCTGAGTGCACAGCACCTTCCCAGGTTTGGGTTTTAGTGAGGTTATCCATCTGTCTCGGTCCTGCAGCACAATGGGAGCCGTCTGCAGCTGGACAGAAGGTGTGAATGGGATGCGCAGGGCAGCCAGCCAGCTTCCCCACAGCCTGCTCAGATTTTGTGGTTGTGATTAGCTGAAAGGAGCTACTTCGTGTTGGGCTCCAGGCCCATCCTGCTACATCTCGGGGGGCAGTGCCCACCCAACCCTGCTCAGCCATGTGACCATCACCATGCATGTCCCCTCTCTGCAGGCACACCAGTGGATGTGGTTTGGCTTTCCCAGGGTGCAGGAATATTACCAAACGTGTTAGGGCAAGCATTTCACAGAATCTCTGAAAAACAGGATGCTTGAGGTATCTTGGAAGCCATCGGGTCCAACCCTCTACTCAAGCACCCACCTAGAGCAGGCGGTCATTCATTTCCTCACCAGTTCAAGGAAGCCTCCTGGTATCTCTAGTTTTGATGTATATCCTCTCTGGATTGGAATAGTTGTAGTGCGTTTCCTTTAGAGGTTTTGAAGAGTTGCCCAAAGTACCATCTGCTGTTTCTGAGCCAGTGAAAGATCGCTAACGTGGCTGCTTGCCTCCTCCTCTCTCCTCTGCAGGTAGTGGTGCAGCTCACCGATGATCTCCTGTCTCAGGCTGTGATGATGGTGGAGGACAGCCGGCCAACACTGGCCATCAACCTGTCTGGAGCCCGGCAGTTCTGGCTGGAGGGCATGCTGCGCCATGAGATAGGTCAGTGGGGCACTGGGGGGACCGTGGGCACAGCAGGGAGGATGCTGAGCATCCTCAGTGTCATCATGGGGATGTGGGGATAGCAGGCAGGGTGGACGCAGTAGGGTTGAGATTCTTGAGGCTCTCCAAGTTGCCCCCAGCTGATGACACTTGCTGTTATCTCCCCAGGCACGCACTACATCCGTGGGGTGAACAACACCCACCAGCCCTGGCACAGCTCGGAGGGCCGCAAGCAGTACAGCCTGAAGCCTGCCAACCCCACGGAGGAAGGTTTGGCCAGCCTGCACAGCGTCCTCTTCCGCAAGCAGCCCTTCCTCTGGCGTGCAGCTTTGCTCTACTACACCATTGAGAGGGCCAGCCGCCTCTCCTTCTCCGCGCTCTTCCAGGACCTGGAGCAATACGTCCAGGATGCTGGCATCCGGTGGGAGTACTGCGTGCGGGCCAAGCGGGGCCAGACTGACACCTCACAGCCAGGTACGAAGCCTTCCATGTTTTGGGGAGATTTCTGTATTTCTGTGGATGCATTCTGGTGCTGGGTGGCTTTGCCATCACCAGCCAGAGAATCCTTCCACGCTGCCCTCTCATCCTCCCTCATCCCCAGATCTGTTTTCATATAGATTTACACTTTCCTTTGTGGTATATTTTTCAATACCCAGCTGCCCCATCACCTTTCCGGCTGCTGTCCATCAGGTAGGGATGGATGAGGCATCCTGGGGAGCCCCGTGGCGTCCTCCCACTCTGATGGATCTTAGCCCTTCCTTGCACAGCCTTTCAAGGAGCCAAAGGAGGAAAAAGATAAGCATTTTGAGGATGCTTTTAGACTCTAGCATTTAAAAAAAAAAGGCAATCACACAGCATGTGTAAAATGGTGAGACTCCAGTGCCTGTCCCTTTTTCCTAAGGGCTGGGGAATGGAGCCTTGCTGCTCTCTGCTGCCCAGGCTTCTCCCTGGTGGAGGACCCCAGTGCTGGCTCTGCTCATCCTCTGAGTCTTTTCCTTCCTGCCAGCCCCAACACATTTGGGAAGATAGGGTTTATCCTGGAGTCATCTCCTGGTGTTTCCCAGGCCCTTTCTCTTTTCCAGGCTGCTTCAGTAAGGACCAGGTGTACCTGGATGGGATTCTCCGCATCCTGCGACATCGGCAGACAATCGACTTCCCATTGCTGGCTGCTCTTGGAAAGGTAGGAGCCTGGGGTCACAGTTCAAGCTCCACACTGGCAAGGGGCTTTCTGGTTTTAGGCAGCCAGATGTGCTGTCCTGGTGAGAGCAGACAGGGTTTTTCCTAGGGCACCCAGACACTGTATCAGACACTGTCTCATCTTCTGTCCAGACAGCAAAATCAAGCAGCAGCATACAGGCAGCCCACGTGCAGGCAGCTCTGCATGCAGCACCAACAGGAACACAGCATTATCATGAGCCCTTTCTGCTTTGCCTTCCTTCTGCCCAGAAATGGTCAGGTTTTATGGTCAGCCTGCACTACGAACGCAGCCTTGGCTCCAGCTCTGTGAGGCCGTCTCACTTCCTTCCACATCTCTCCTCACCAGCCCCTGTATGTAGGGGCACAGCTCTTCATGTTTGGTCTTTGGCTCCTCTTTTGCTGTATCCATCCTGCCCTGACCCAAAGCTCAGGTGCAGGCATCACCAGCTTCTCCTGTCTACGTATTTTCCCAAAGCTGAGACCTGGCTCAGCCAAATACTTGCCCTGCAGGCATTTTTGCCTCCGCAATGTTTTTTTTTCCCATGTCTTTCTTTCAAAACTTACCTCAAGCCTTCATTTCCATCCCTTGGCAGTCTGTGGTCCCATTTGGGCAGTGAGAGTGTAGAAAACCCAGCCAGGCAGGCAAAGAGGATCACAGGGGAATAGAACCCTTTCATTTACACATGCTGATCCATCCCTTTGCTTCCCACCAGGTCTCCTACGAAGATGTGAACCGCCTGAAGAAATTTGGCGTCCTGGAGAAGGCTCGCATCCCCCATTTCATGCAGGACCTGGAGCGGTACATGAAGCAGCTCGACCACATTGTCACCACCAACCAGCTGGATGAGCAGGAGCTGGAAGAGCTGCTGCCTGAGTGAGCAGCACTGTGCACCCCACGGCCGCCCCGCGTGCCTCAGTGCATCCTGCCAGCATCCGGCTGACGCTGGCTCTATTTATTCAGTATTTATTGGGGCTGTCAGGCCAGTTTTTGCCTGAAGAAGATGGCACAGCTCGGGCTTCTGCCCAGGAGGCTGATGTGCATGTACTGCTGTGCAGGGTAGCACAGCTGAGATGGTCGGTGTGGTTGTTGTTGATTTTCCCCCTGCCCAGGTCCGTGCATTTTGGGGAACGCTGTGCTACTCCGCGTTGGTTTTGGGGAAACGAGGGGTTAGAGGGAGCAAGGGCAGAGCCTAGGAGCTGCACCAGTCCAGTGTCCTCAAGGTTCCAAGTGGTGCTCTCCTCATGTCCTCCCTGATGGGCAGGAAGGACTTCAGTCCCCCCAGATAATGACCTCTGCTCTCCCTGCTTCTAGATACCTGCCCCGTCATTGCAGACCGTGCAGACCTACAAGTAAACACGACTGCACCCCAAATACGTGCTCTGCCAGGCATCAAGGCACAAAGGACTCGGGGTAGGGATCTGGCTTGATGTTACGAACAAAGGTGTAATAAAACCCATGTAATGGAAACTTTGTGTGGACCAAACCTTACGGACAGCATCAAGTGCAAAAGCCAGGCTGGTGCCACTGGCACTAACCACAGAGCTCACACACGTGGGCAAAGCTGCATGGTGCTGAGCTGGTGCGTCAGGGGCAGGAAGGGGTCACCAGTGTGCAAAACCACCTAATGAGCAGGAACAGCAAGAATAAATCAAAGTAGGCAACAGCAGATGTTGCCTTGAGCTGTGTGTGGTTTCTAACGTGGAATCTCTGCCACACTCACAGCACCTCAGCTATGCTATCTGTGGGGGAGCTTTTACAAAACAAAAAGATTTGCTTTTCAATTCTGTTGGAACCTTTCATCTGACTGAGCTCCCCTAAAGGTAGCACAGACCAATTTGAGCCCAGGCTAAATCCCAAATGCTCCACGCTGGGCTGCACATGCAGTTTGTAGCTCCTCCAGCTGCTGCAGGCCCAACAGAACTCACAGGGCAGCTGAAGCCCCTGCAGACTGGGTGCTGCAAGAGGCAGCACGGCACAGAGCAACTTAGGGAAGGGATGAAACGACTCAGCCTGGGGATTTGGCTTCCATGCAGCCCAGACTTCCGCAAACATGCTGTTGTTTTTCACCACTGCCCTCCGTGAGCACCCCTCTATGAACACACTGCCAGCATGGCCAATTAGACTCTGCTCTTTAATATATTTCCTCCAGCATTGCAATCCTCACCTTTGAATGCGATACAGCACTACTTTAGAAAGGTATTTACACACATCCCAGCATAACCCCCTACTTGTCATCACGAGGAGCAAGGCCTCGACTGGCACCAAGAACCAACCAAGGGAAGTCTCTTGCAGCCTTCATCTTGGAATGGCAGCAGTGACAGAGGGCAACGTAGATACTGCGATGCTTTCTGATTGGCTTCAGTCGCATCCCTGATGAGATAACAGCATGGAAATGAGAGACAGCATTCACCTATCTCCTCAGCCAGGGCTAGAAGCGCTTCATCTGGCGGCGTTCCTGGCGGCGCTGCTTCTTCTCGTTCGGCTCCTGACTGGGGGCTGAAGATTCAGCTGTAAACCAGGGCCCCAGGATGTTCACCCACAGGAGGTAGAGAGCACGGCCCGGAGCCTGCGAAACACGTGTGGAAGCAAAGTCAGTCGTTCTGGATGTGATTTTGGCAGGTTAGGGTGGGTTGGTCCTACAGAGGAAACCAAAGGAGCTGGAAAACATCTACAGGCTGGGTCAGGGACGTCACAAGATCCACTGAAATCAAAGGCAGTGGCAGACACCCAAAATAAATGGCCTGATTTCACAGAATTCAGGAGCCTGCATACATTTCTGGGAACGCAGCACTTAGACTTCATACGTGGAAATCGCAGCATCAGTTCTGAATTACCCAGAAAGATCTGACTTCCTGGCTGGTTCTGCCTGTCCCTTCTTCAGAAGCAAAATCACACGTCTCTGAAGGAAAAAAAACACGATCCATATGGTGTGCAGGGGAGCCAGAGCCGAGGCTGCCCCCTGCCAGAACTGGGTAGGAACTAACTTGTGGGTAAGGATGAAAACAAGATGCCTTTCTGCCGTACCTGCATGGGATAGACCCCAGGCAACTCTGCTGTAATATTATTTTAATTGCCAGGAGATTTGGGTTTTTCATCCTTTTGTAAAAGCAGCTCTCACTGGAGGTGCATGAGAAACGCTTCAGGAACAGAAAGCACCTGGTGTTAAGGGGGATGAAAGCCTGCAGTTTGTTCTACTCAGTGGCATGGGGTCCTGCAGTTCCCAGCCTCAGTCAGTGCTGGTGAATGACTGAGGAATCCAAGCAAGAAGAAATAGTCTGTCTCAGTCACAAAAAGGCAAAGAAAGTAGCTCTTATGCACAAAGGCAGCTTTCATCTGCTCCATGGTTCCTGCTGCTGTCTCTCAGGACCAGAGGGAAAGGTCAAGGCCAACCTAGTTTTTTGCACAGTTTACCACGGGACTGACCCAGAAAGATCAGGACTTCTTTTTTTTTTTTGTATTTTTACAACATTTTATGAGATAATTTTTTCTTTATCAGGAAAAATTTTCAGCCTGAAACAGGACACCTTGAGGTGAAATGGATAAACTATATTCTCCATTCTGAAGATGGGGAAAGACAGACAACTCGGAGCAACAAGAACAAGTGCAGGGCTTACCAAGAGCCAGAAGTACCAGACGTAGAGTGAGAAGCAGCTCAGAACCTGGACCATTGCTGTCAGCAGGATCACATCCTTGAGGTGCCTGAGGGAAGGAAAGCAGTACGTGAACCTCCCCATTTCAGCCCCCACCAAAGCCACCAGCTCCTCGGCCAGCCTGAGAGCGAGGAGACAGGAGCAGTGTTTGGTTTTCCAACACAAAGGAGTGCCGGGATGGGGTTAGAAAAATGCCAACTCTTTCTTTCCCACTGAACCATTACTGGAGCAGCAATCCCTACCAGGGTGGACAGAGCGCTGGATAGGAGGTGCAGTCCTCCAGGTGCCAGGCTGCAGGGGGTGCCTGGAGCCTGCCTCTGAAGACAGGAGAGAGGACGGTTCCTGCCCTGAAGGAGCTGTGCCACCAAGTGGAAGATTTAGGAGAAGTGAGCAGGCTGTGCACCATCAGAGACAAAAGGGAGATGGACAGGATCTTCCCCCTGCCACAGCTGGAAGAGCCTCAGCCCACCATCACAGAGGAGAAGCAGGCACTGCCCACCCCACAGTGGAGGTAAGTGCAGCCTCAGGAGAAAGCTGGCTTCTGGCACCAAGAGGAAAGCTCCTGCCCAATCTAAGGGCTTACACCCAAAATAAGTTCACCACAGTCAACACTGAAGAGGAGTCAATGTTCCTGTATGCAGAGAAGTGGCTACAGCTAACCCTAACCAAAGCAAGAGCACCAGGAAGAAGTGGTGAGCTATGGCAGTGAGCGACACCCTACTGCAGAGGATAGGAGGCTGTATACCAACACACAGAGGGTAGGAAATGAAAAGGATGAGCTGGAGATGTGTGTGCAGTTGCAAGGCATTAAGATGGCTCGCATGACTGCAGTGCTGCAGTGGAAGGATGCAGGCTGTTTCAGGACTGTGTGGGAAGAGGAGGGGGAGCTGCCCTTTATGGGAGCACAGCAGGAGCACACAGAGCTGTGCCTGGAGATAGATGAAGAGCTAACCAAGAGTTTATGGGATAAGAATAAAGAGAAGACAGGTGCAGGTGATGTTGTAATGGGTGTCTGCTACAGGCCATCTGACTGGCAAGAACAACAGCATTAAAGATAAGGCAGTCATGGGTCCTTGGGGCAAAGGTGAATAGAGTCATGGATTTCATTAGGATTGTTGCCAGTGGGTGCAGGGAGGTGATCCTTCCTCTCTGCTCAGCGCTGGTGAGGCACATCTGGGTATAATGGGCCCAGTTCTGGGCTCCCGGGTGCAGGAAAAACATGGAGAAACTGGGGAGAGTCCAGTAAAGGACCACAAAGATGATGAAAGGACAAGAGCATCTCTCCTGTAAGTAAAGGCTGGGAGAGCTGGGACTGTTCAGCCTGGAGAAGGCTTAGGGGGGTCCCATCAATGTCCATAAATACCTGAAGGAAGAGTGCACAGGGGACAGAGCCAAGATCTGTCCAGAACACAAGAGATTCCCTCTGAACATCAGGAAGCTATCAGAGTGACCAAGCAGAGCGACAGGCTGCCCAGGCAGGCTGCGGAGTGAGGCTCCTTGGAGATCTTCCAAGCCACCTGGACGTGGTGTTGGGCACAGCTCTGGGTGACCCTGCTGGAGCATGGGTGGCACCAGGTCACCTCCAGAGGTCCCTCCGACAACCTCAACCACTCTGTGATTCTGCAATTCATCACCAGAAACAATTTTACACCGGGACGCCGTCACCCTACCAAGAACTCAAGAAACTGCTGAACCTGCCATTAACAGTGCCACCATGAGACACGGGTTCCAAAATTTAGTGTGTCACCAGCACTGATCACACAGGGGAACTCATACACTGCACCCAGCTCTCCAAGATACCAGCAAGCCCCTACGTCAGCCTTCCAAAAGCCCAGGAGGCAAAGTCCAGCAGTGCCATCACACACATGCATGAATCAGTTACCAAAGCAGCCAGCGTGATTTGTTGCCTGATACATCCCAGGATTATCTCCCACAGCTAGGATACTCGAGGTGACATCAAACTTGCTTATTTTCATTACTCAACTGTCTCGTATCGCGTTTCCACAAAAAAAAAAGTATCCAAAATATTTTATACTTCTGGAGTTGTTCATGAGAGCCAAAAGAAACGGCGAGTGTAAAAACACTCTGCTGCCAAGCAGGAACAAGAAGTCATAGAGGATGAACAGGATTGTAACACAACTGGCTCACAAGTCACACTAGAAATAATTGCCTCTTTTTCAGCCTGCCTTCCCCCTGTGACTGAGTCTCCTACATCACACATTTCAGTTATTGTGCTAAAATGTACTTCTTGAGAAGCAAAACCACAGCAGATGGAAGCTCGTGGCGTGCAGAGAGAACGGGTTCTGAGCTGCACAAGTCAGTTTGCCTGATGTCTCCATTCGCCTGCTGGCTGCAGAAATGAAGCTTCTGTTAAAAACAAAGAAACAAGCAATAACAAATCAATTCAAATTGCCTGAAGAAGGCTGCAGGGTGACGGCACTGCAGCCTTCCAGTACCTAAAGGGAGCCTACAAACAGGAGGGGAGGCAACTCTTGACAAGGGCAGATAACAGAAGGACAAGGGAGAATAGTTTGAAGTTGAGGGAGGGAAGATTGAGGTTGGATGACAGGGGGAAGTTCTTTGCTATGAGAGTGGTGAGGTGCTGGAACAGCTGCCCAGAGAGGCTGTGGATGCTCTGTCCATTCCTGGAGGTGTTCAAGGCCAGGTTGGATGGGGCCCTGGGCAGCCTGGTTAAATGTGGAGGTTGGTGGCCCTGCATGCAAGCAGGGGGTTGGAGCTTCGTGATCCTTGAGGTCCCTTCCAACACAAACCATTCTACAGTTCTGTGAATTTGTGCTCCTTCCAGAAAGATGTGAA